GTCCAAATCTCCATTCTACACGCATGCATTAAAAATGTAAATTTATTTATGCAAATAATTCGCAGATGTTTTTCTTGCGCCTCCGGAAAGAAAATCGAAAATCTTCGATATATGCAAATTTATTTTAAAGCTGGCATCCCTTCAGGTGACCTCAGGTAGTCCCAACCACTTTTTTCAAACCCTCTTTATATTACGTATAAGAAAAAGGGTGAAAAGGGATCACATGTTGGACACATCTTTCGTACTTTCTTGGCGCGTTCAAAAGGGTTGGAATATCATCCACGTTGTCTTTCTGTGTTTGCTGTGTGAACGACTGGTATGCAAATGTACAAAAAGTGGTGATTTGCATATTTGCGCGCGCATCGATACGCATGTGAATGTGGATGTGAATATGCGTGCGGCTATATCGAATGATATATTAAGCATTTCGGCATTAAGGGATCGCGTCGATAAGGGATAAAGAAACGTGTTCGACGAGTCGGCTGCGTGCGTGCATGAAAGGGTTCGATGTTTGAATCGTTTGGCAGTCGAATGGGGGATGATCGGATCAAACTTCACGTGGCTTTATGTGCGTTCACAAAGAATATATTATTTGAGACGTTTGAGTTGTGGTTTTAATTTTTTCAATGAGAAATTTTTATTTTTATCGAAGCTAATGTTATTTTTGTTTATTTTGAGGATATTTTTGGATTTAAGGGTGTTAGAAACAAAATTTTTGTTAATAATTAATCTATGATTGTTATTAAATAAATTTAGGTTAAGAAATATTTTGTTTATAATTATTAACTATTTTTTATGATTTTTTAAAAATTTTTTGTAGGTTGAAATGTTTTGTTAAAGATGATTTTTGTCACAAAATTGTTTATAAATCAAAAACTAAATAAGTTACAACAAATTTCTTGACAATAGTTTATTAAGCATTAAATTCTTAATAAAATTATAATAATTAATCAAAATTTTATGCACAATTAGTATTTTTTATTGATTTTTAAAAATCACTTTATAAAAATACTGCATTTGTTTAAAAATTGAGGATAAATCAACAAATATATGAGCTACAACAAAATAAAAGATTGTAGTATATTGTTTATTAAATTTTATATTATATAATAATATTAAACAAAATTTTTAAATGTTAAAAGTATTTTTTATGATTTTTTGAAAACCGTACTTCATATTTAATTCTATGTTAAACTTGTGTTTAATGTTTTTTGTTATAAATTTGTTTATAACTCAAATAGAAAATAACTTACAACAAATTTAAAAACTGGAATGAATTAAGCGTTAAATTTTAGGCAAAATTATATCCAAACATTAAAATATTATAAATAATTAGTATTTTTTATTGATTTTTAAAAATGATTGTGTTAGAATTATTTTTCAATCTGCCAATGTTTAAAAAATTAACGATAAATCAACAAATATAAAAGTTATAACCAAACAAAATGTTGTTATATATTATTTATAACATTTCAAATAATATAATAATATTAAACAATAGTTTTAAACATTTTAAGTATTTTTTATGAATTTTTGAAAATTTTCTTTTGTTTTTTTTTACCAACGCTCTTATTACCATTGATTTTTTTACTAAAAAATATAAATAAATTAATAAATATTTTTTATACCAAAAAACTAAAACAATATTTAAATTCCCCATTAATTTGTTTACTTAATTATCAACAAAAAGTCCAATTTATTCAATTAAAAATATTTTTTCGCAATTTTTAAAAGATGATTCACATTTTTTGCTGATTTCATTAAAAAATAATAATTTATATATAATAACAACTTATTCAACTAAAAAATATTGTATTTCCTGCTAGCTGGAAACCGATTAAAGACTATTAAACGCACAACCTTGATTCGTGTGATTCGTGCGATTGGATCAACAATTACGTTCACGGCATCGACATCCACATCACACAATGCGACATGATCAATCAATTCCAACTCGCCTCGACTCCAATATAATTACGAAAAAAATCCATAACTTGAACATAATCACCCGGCAAGCGCACACACCAAATATCCATGAGTTCGTTCGTAGGCGACCGAGTGTATCGTGATTCAAAAGTAATTGACTCGTAATCCATCGTGATGTAATGATCGTCGCGTTCCAGCCGGTTGATTCCACGAAATCGAACTGTTTACCGTTTGAACGCGGGCGGCGTATTAGTCGATTAGAAACGCCAAGAATAAAAAGCGATATTTCGGTGTGCGGTGGAGGCAGGGAAACGATCGCTAATCGCTTTTTTGCATGATGTCGTCGATCAATTGATGCCTGCGGATGCCTGCCGTTCGAACCGCAAGAAAATACACTGATTTTGTTTTGTGTGTGGAAGTTTTTTGTTTTGTTTCGTTAATGTAATAATCGTGGGGGAGTCCCGCGGGCAATAAAATCAATGCATCAAACATAATGCTTGAATTTCGTTTGTAATAACTCAAAAACAATGTTATATTTTATTTTATACACATTGTAAAGAGTATTCTAGAGAAAAAATTCTCAAAATTTGATTTTTGATGAATTTTATATTTTTACCGCCCTAGGGCCGTAAAATATTTTTTTTGTCAAAAATATTTTTCCTTAAAAATCACAAATATTGTTGTTTTTAGTATTTTTACAAGTTTTACCAAAATTATTTCATTTTACGCCTCATTATTTTACCGCCCTAGGGCCAAATTTTAAAATTTTTCTCTTTTTATAAAAAATAGTACAGTTTCTCCTAAAATTAATATTTTTACTACTTTTTTTGCACACTTTACCCACTGAATTTACCAATATATCACGTTATTTTACCGCCCTAGGGCCAATTTTTTTAAAATTCTTTCTTTTTTTAGCAAAAAAACAGTTTTGTCCAAAATTAATATTTTTACCATTTTATTGTACACTTTACCCACTAAATTTCCCAATATATCACATTATTTTGCCGCCCTTGGGCCTATTATTATCATTTTTATCCAAAAATTTAAAAAAAATCTTAAAAACCACAAAAATAAATATTTTACATATTTTCCCAAGTTTTACCAAAACTATTTCCCACTGCATCATCATTTTTACTGCCCTAGGGCCGTAAACCTCACTTTTCCGCCCGGATTTTAAAAAAATATTTCCTGAATTGCCATTCATGATGTTTTTACACACGTACAAGCTACACTGTGACCACGTGGCGTGCAAGCCGACAGGGAGTCGTGTCGATTACGCGTTCGGCGTGTATTACACACTGTTTATAACTTCGGCGAGCTGGCTCGGCGCGCCACGCGCTCCGGCACCACATCATACGACGCCGCAGCCATGAAACGGCCCGGCCGGGGCGAAAAATGAACCCCACGGCATTGTTTCTCCGACAAATGTATCCATAACAAGGGAGCGCGGGCGCGTGCGGCCCGCAGAACGAAAGAAACGCAAGGAGAGGAAATGCAAAAGCAAAAGCTAATTGATTGATCAGTGCATGACACGGCAAGACGGCGGAATAAACAACAAACAGTGTGGAATGTTTTTGAATTTGGGAAAAATTATATAAAAACATGTTATGTGTGTTTATACAAATAGAAATGTGAATAATTGTGTCATAAAGTTTGTTTTAAATTATTGGTTAATTTAATTATATTTCGGAGAGTGTAAAGGTCAAAGCTCAAAGCTCTCCAAAAGCTCAAAATTTAAAAATTGTTATTTTTTAAATCTGTTAATTGAGTTTTGTAGATAATTTAATTCCAAGAAATTTATTTAAATAAAGTTTTTTAGTATTATAATTATTTTGGTTGCTATTCATTTTGCCAATTTTTTTTCGAAAAAAAATTAAAATTGTTTTTTGGAAAATTTGAAAAAAGGACTATATAGAGAATTTTATTAATTACAAGTTATTTTAATAAAAAAATTTGATATCTGTAATATTTTGGAAAATATCGGCAATTTTAGTTAAAAAAGCGCCAAAAATTTTGCAAAAAAATCAAAATCAAAATTTCAAAAAGCTATAAACGGCATTTTGTAGATAATTTAACTAGAAATAAAATATTTTAATAAACTTTTTTGATATTTTTAATATTTTAGATATTATCGATAATTTTGTAGTTTTTTGCAAAAATCAAAATTAGCAAAAAAATCAAAATCAAAATTTTAAAACTCTGTAAACGCCATACCATGTAAAATTTAATCCTGATTAAATTATTTAAATGCATTTTCTACGTAAATATTATAATTTGCCTGATATCTTAATATTTGTGTAAAATATCAAACTTTTTCGAAAATTGAAATTTTTAAATTCTGTAAACGGATTTTTACAGATAATTTAATACTGAACAAATTATTTTAATAAAAATTTTACGTAATATTAATATTTACGTCACAAATCACCAAAAACGAACAAAAATTTTGCAAAAAAAATTCAAGATTTGAAAAAAATGTCCAAAAAAAAAAAGAAGTGCTACGAATGCAGTAATGATTTTTTGCCCCGCAGTTCGCATAATCGAATCGCTTGCCGCTTGCAGACGACGTAATTTCGTTGTTTGGTCGCGTCGCAGTGGAAAACTAGAAAATTTCCATTTAAATTCGCAATTTGTAATTTGTAATTAAAATCGCGTCGCGCCACCTTCATTCTCCGCGCAATTTTTTATTCACATTAGCACTTTTTCCACTTTTATCCAAGTATTGATAATTCAGCGTTTAAAACCCCGGCAAACGAAGAAAAAGCAGGCAAAAAAACGAAAAAGAGTTTGATATCGACAAAAACTCACAAGAGAGAATAAATGTGTGCAGAAGAGACGCATGAGAAAGAGTAAAATATCTGCGCCTGTGAGCGAGCGGTGAGCGATTGGCCATCGAAGCGAGACTACGACTCGGTGCCGAAGAGGGCGCCTGCGATCGGCGCGATGGGCGGGCGATGGAGGGTGCGATGCGTCGAAGGCAGGCCTCGAAGGAGGCGCCGCGCGCGCACCGACCGACCGTCCCGCGACCGACCGAGCGACTTCCTTCCCCACGTCGAGCTCAGTGTTGGGCACCGCATCCCGACGAACGCACGCATCGAGAGACACTACCACCGCGCGACACAATATCGCGGCACTACCTCGCGCGCGCGTAAACCAAGAAACCGCTGTGCAAGTGACTGACTACAAAAAAACGCTAAAAAATTCAAAAATTTGTGTCAGTGATCAACAAATTAAAATTACAACAGTGTTCAAGTGTGGATTATTCTTCGTGAGCAACAACATGTTTGTGACCAAGTTTTCCAAGAGTACTTTTGGACTTTGAAGTTTTTTTTAATGAAAAAATTTGAAATTTTGGCGATATGTGCCCGCTGCGTAAATTGTGTGAATCGTACAATATTTTCTGACGGCTTTCACGCAAGAAAACAGCGAAAAGTGAAGTGTGCGGAGTGCGTGGTGAAGGAGGACTTTTTCGTGGGCCAAGATTACGCACAAAAAGGACGCCAAACTGGCGGAGCTAGAGGATCGCGTCCGCATGCAGCCCACGGCGACCGCCACTATCCCGCCGCCAGCGGACATGGACTTGCAGGCCATGCAATCCATGGATTGGCTCTTCAAAAAGGAGAGGATCTACTTGCTTGCGCAATTTTGGCAACAGGTTAGTCAAAAATCAAAAAAAAATTTTTTCAAAAAAAAAGTTTTTAGTGTAAACATCGCGTGCCGCTGCGAGCAACTAATTGAATGTTATTGTTCGTACACTACAACGCTTTAACTTGAAGCTAAAGCTAAAGTTTTCATTCACTTGTAACACAAACTCCAATAATAAAATTCACCTCCAAGGGAGGTCTTAATAATTACTTGAAAAATCTCCGAATTATTTTTGACTACCGGTTCTTCACCAAAAAAAAAAAAAAATTCTTAAAAACCATTAGTTTTATATCCATAATAGAATTTAGATTCTTATTAGTCTTGAGTTTTCTCATCAGCGTGCTGACATTTTTATTCCCATCTAATTTGACGTTTAGAGTCGTTTTTTGATTTTTGAATTCTGATAAAACAAACAATTTCCAACGACGAGAATATTTTTAGTCATTTTTAAGACGCAATAAATAACGATTTTATTCGTTTGGAACACTTTAAGTGTTTAAGACTTTGCAACTTTTCGAATCGTGAAATCGATAAAAGAAAAATATAAAATTACCCTTAATGTCCTTGGGTGTCATAAACATTTTACAGCCACCCTTGTTTAAGGACATTGCGATACTCTTGTATAATTTTTAGTACGAGTATATTGATGAATGTTGGACCAGGCTTTCATGATTGGAACCATTAGCGAGGAATTTTTTATAACTTTTTTATGGGCCGCTGTTAAATCATATAAATTTATACAAGAAAAGTTGTTCAAAAAAGTCAAAAATTATTTTTTGAGATTTTAGTGTTCGATTTCGTAAAGCAGGCGCCATCTCACGAGCTTTTGATGAAACTACGACTCTTAGTAGAAAGGCAAACAACCCTTAACATGTGTTAAGGGTAACTACATAGTTTCAAACTGTTTATAAAGTCAAAAATAGTTTTAATTTATTATTTACTTAGTCAGAAATTACCAAAAAATACATTTTTGGAGAAAATTTTGAAAAAAATTATTTTTTGGAGAAAATTTTGCAAAAAATAAAATTTTTGGAGAAAAAAATTTGCGAAAAATAAATTTTTAGAAAAAAAAATTTTTTAACCTAGGTTAACATTTGGTTTGTTTACTGACGTCTTTTTGGCACTTTCCCGATCAAGAAAAAAGTGATCACCCTTGTATATCGAACATCGAAATCACCCTCAAGTAATAGGGATGCCACCCTCGATACTTTAAGCCTCGTTGCGCTAGTCAATGCCTCAACGACACCGCAACGCTCGTCTTGGCATTGTGTGGGAAGATGCACACTCACCCTCTGCGCGGATGCTGCGTAGGAGGGTTGACGGCGAAAAAAACTTCCTTCCGTTCAGCTCGCTCGTTTTCCGCGCGTAAATCGTTTTCGGAGCGAAATCGAAGGGATGTTCGACACATTCCTGCACGTCCCGCGTCCGGCAGGATTTCATCCCCCTTTTTTTCTCGTTTCTGTGCCGTAAAAACGCCAACAAGTGTTGTGTTACTCTTCACTTTTGGAATATCTAGGTTAGTGGGATGTTTTTTTATGAGTTGGACTTTTTGAGTTTTAATTTTTCGATTTTTTTTGTTTTGATTTGCCCGAAGCGCATTTAGGGTTGTGTTTTGTATGCGATACGGGATTGATGGTGTTTACAGTCGTCATGTTTCGACATCCGCTGTGCGTTAGGGGATGATTTTTGGGGATCGGGGTGGAAATATTGGTTTTTAAACTCTGGAAATTGCTCGGCGCTCGTAAAAGCGCATATGTTCGCACTTGTTGAGCGCGGACAAAAGCGTCGATTGTTCTTCGCTCCGCTTCATTTCCGAGCTTTTTGTGTTGTCGTTTATCGGGGATGTGTGTTTATCAAATTCGCATAAAACGCGTAATTTCTATCCGGGCTCGTGTTGCGATTGAACAGGCATTGATTTTTACAACGCGTGCCACGGGCACATCTATAGGGGTGGATTTGTACAAAGGGTGGCGAATGAAAGAACAACTCAATACCTTTCAGAATATGTCAAACTTTTACAAAAATATTTGATATTGATACATTTAAAACAATGTTTAAATATTTTTGCAGTGAGTTTTTCAGTGACAAATTTTTTAGTCAACTTTGAATGAAGATTATAAACAAACTATTGTTGATAATAACTTTGTGTAAACATAATTTTGAAGATAATTTAATAATCTTTCAGAATATGTCAAATATTTTAAATTTTGTGTAGCGAAAACGTCAAAATTTTAAGTTTTATAAAAAATTACATAAAAATGCAATCGAAAATTTTGAATCCTTATAACATGAAAACAAAAAATGATTTTTAGATTATTTTTTTTCTAATTTATCACAAATTTCTTTATCTTTTTAACAACATATAGATAATTAGTGTAGTGCATCAGAAACAGCCACAATTTAAGTTTTTCTTCGAAATTTTCCATGTTTTTTAACATAAAAACTGTTTTTCTAAATATTTTTATTTTCAAACTTTGAAAGACTATTAAACAAAAACTACTTCATATAATTATATTCTGTAAACGCCAACTTAAAGATAATTTATTATTCTTGCAAATTTATCATTTACAAATCAATTTCTTATCAATTAAAACCAAAATATTTAATGATTAATAAAACACTACAAAATTATCACAAAAATTAAACACAATATTTGATCCTAGTTAATATAAAAACTAAAACACCTAACGATATTAAATTGGCCTCATGTTATGACAAATTTAATCATCTTTCAAACAAGGTATAGATAATAAAAATCGTGAGACAGGAAGCGCCACAATTTAAGATTTTCCATCGCTCTTCAAAGTTTCTCGCCATGACAACTGTTAGTGTCTTAATTCGCTGACCTTGCGTGCGTTGCGTGCCGGTGGGGGCATTTAATTGATTTCGAATGTGCATTCGTTCGTTTTTTGCCAATTTTTAACGATACTTAAATTACACCACACGGATTAACAATCGCGTTCCACTCGCACTTTACCACGGCAAGAAGTTCACAATCGAGAGCCGTAATGTGTTGTATTCATTTTTTTTCCAATGCAATAAACGAGCGGACGTGACGTCAACGGCGACAATATAATTTTCTAATATTCATCAATCAATCCCAATGGATCGCGCGGTGTTGTCGCCATAATGACAAATTCATTCTGCCGGGCTAGACGCTGGATTTTATCCGCGACTTTAATTCTAATTGCAATAATACGACGTGTATAATAGGAATAAATATAAACAATTGATACCACGACGATATTTATTAAAGTTTTTGTGACTTGTTTTTATCGTCGACGAGAATCTCGCCGTTGATTGGTTGATTGTGTATTGTTAATCCGTAATTTTTTCATTGATGTCGCACTCGCGCTTGCTCCGGGCAGCGAATTGAAAAGGAAACACTCCAAATTGATGAATTGATGTGTCATTCGACTATTGGTGACATCCTACTTCAATATTTATCGCATTCAGCGCGCTTTATTCGACCGCAATCACCGATCAAACAAGTGCTACTACTTTAAACACATCGTATGCAAAAGTGATGAGTGATATTCACTTGAAAAAATATACATGGTATGGAATATTTAATTGGCTTTCTAGAAATATATAATCATTTTTAATTGTTTATTTATAAATTGTTTGAAAAAAATAATTTATATAAAAAATGAAAATTATAAAAAGTTGTGAAAAATTATGTGCAATTTTAAACACTTGGTATGTTAATATGGTGCGTTGTATTACTTCAGTATAAATTTTATGTGATAGGAAATTTAATTAGCTTTCTAGTGATATATAACAATTATATATTATTTGTTTATAACATTATTTAAAAAAATAATTTGTAAAAATTGTCAAAAAAATTTAAATTTTCACTTTAAACACTTGGTATACAAAAACGATAATAGTTAATTAAACACCACATACATCATTTGAAAGGGAATTTAATTAGCTTTCAGAATATGTTTTACTTTTAAAATATCAATATTTTTAACCTAAAATTTCAGCCATAATGTAAAATAATCAATAAAATAAAAATTGATTTCCTGTTAAAAATAAAAACTCAACTTGCAGTAACATAAAATTAAAATTGTTTTCAATTGACGTATGGCGTGCGTGAATTGAGTATGTCGTGTCCGAATCGAAGGTCCCCGCAATACTGGCGACGATTATCCGCCGTTAATCGGTGATCAATCAATCAAAATCCGGCGGACAACAGAGCGCGTGGCATGCGCTGCTGGAAGTGCCCGGGTCACGCCAATTGACGCTAAACACATCCATCTATTGATGGGATGATTTAATCAATTTTATTAAATCAAGCACATCGAGAGCCACCGGTCGCGCGCGCTGATAAATATCGCTCGGCCAGTCAATGAATCATTTATTTATTGGCCCCGCTGCGCGACAGCCGATACCAGTACAATTTCGAAAATGTTTCGAATGCAAGTGGCGGATGGTCAGAGGCATGTCGACAAGTGCACTCGTGTAAATAAGTGTAAATAGCCGCGCGGAGGACAATAAATAAACTATAAATGCCAGTCGCTTTTCTTTGTGTGGTAAATTCAATTAGACAGGCGCGGAGATGTTCCGCGGACGACTTAAATCATTCGATAATTTGAAATTGAACGCGCCGTGCTTGGAAATTGATGAATAATCAACAGCCACCATCAGTGGTTTATTTATAGACATGATATTATAATATTTTAGACTTGTATTTGAAGAAAACTTTTAAAGGTAGAATTTTATTAGTGAATTTTGTAGTGGAAGTTTAAACACTTGGTATATGAAAACTATAGGTCCTATCAAAACCATTTAAAGTTTATATGTTACATCTGTTAATTGAATTTCTATAATTGTATATTTTAACAAAATTTCTCTAAGGGTTTGGTCGTAATTTATGATTTTACAAAGGAAAAAATTTTGACGAAGAATTATGACGATAAATCTTATTTCAAATTTGAACCCGGATTACTACGAACCTACACTAGCTAGAACAATAACGTTATAAAATTATGTGTAAAATTTAAT